GAGTACTGTGTCCAGTACTGGGCACCGCACTTCAAAAGGGATGTGGCCAGCCTGGAGAGGGTTCAGAGGAGGGCCACCCACTTGGTGAGAGGGCAGCAGGACAGGCCCTACGAGGAGAGACTGAAGGACCTGAACCTGTTCAGCCTCAGCAAGAGGAGGTTGAGGGGGGACCTGGTGGCTGCCTACCAACTCATCAGGGGAGATCATCAGCAAATAGGCGGAGCCCTTTTCTCCCCAGCACCACCCGGGGTGATGAGGAACAATGGTCATAAGCTGATGGAGAATAGGTTTAGGTTCGAGATCAGAAGGCAATATTTTACAGTTAGGGTGGCCAAAATCTGGAACCAACTTCCCAGGGAAGTGGTCCTCACCCCTACTTCGGGCAAATTCAAGAGGAGGTTGGACGATCACCTGTCTGGGGTCTTGTGAACCCAGCATTCATTCCTGCCTGTGGTGGGGGTCAGGCTAGATGATCTGTTCAGGTCCCTCCTGACCCTAGCTACTATGAAACTATAAGAACTCCCTCCCTGCCTGGACCTATGGGTGGAATCCAGGAGTCTTGGCTCCCAGCCCCCTCTTAGCCATAACCTCTTAGACCCAGCTCCTCTCTCCTCCATAGCCAGAGATGGAACCCATGTCTCCTGGCTTCCTGTGCATCCCACCCCCTGCGCAATCTCCCTGGACTGCTCAGTCCAATGGGTCATGTAGGGCCATGTGCTTCCACGGGGGACCTGCTGTGGGGTTGAGGGCCTTGGTTTTCATCCCCAGGGATCCTAAAGGACTACTTGAGAGAGCTGCCCACGCCCCTCATCACCCCCACACTGTACCATGTGGTGTTGGAGGCCATGGCACGGCGGCCTCCCCGGGCGGGGCTCAGTGAGAGAGAGGCAATGGAGACAGTCGCCTTGCTGGACTGCCTGCCTGACATTGAGAAGGTGAGCCCTGCTGGGCTGGGGCAGATGTTGAGGCTGGGCTGGGGCAGGGCAGACAGGGTAGGGTGGATGAGTGGTTGTGGGGACCAGGCTAGGGTGCCTGCACGACTGTGCTGCAGCTTTGGCAGTGCCTGATTGCTCAGAGTCCTGCTTCACAACTTGGGCACCAGGATTCCTGGAGGGGAGCCTGGACCCAGCGGGGAGCTTGTGCTGTCCCTGTCCCTGCTCATAGATCTGATGGTCACACCCACCCGTGGGGCACTGTGGCTGTTGTTTGTGTAGACCATCCCCAAAATCCATTGCAGAGCCACTGTTCCACTGGAGTGTGTGTGCATGCACACGTGTGAGTGTGCACATGTGGTGGGTACATTCCTGGTGCGTGTGTGTATAGGCCCCCCCTGCTGCCCAAGGGGGGACCAAACGGGTGCATTTGGGTGCTGGGCCGTGCCCTCTGCCCCTGCCCTGCCCTGCCTTCCAGTCCGAGGAGGCCATGAGGACTGGTTGGCAGTGTAGGAGCTTGCCCTGAGCTTGAGGCACCATACTGGCAGGGCCCGGGTGCTGTGCCTGGAGAGCCCTGCTGCCCCACGTCCTGTTCCATGCTGCCTGCCTTGGTGCCAGCCTCGTGGTTTGGGGCAGGCGGACACCTGACCCTGAGATGCCCCTTTGAGGAGGGTGCGCCTGGTCACTGATGGCACTCCCTTTGCCAGGCCACACTGACCATGCTTCTGGACCACCTCAGCCTGGTGGCCTCCTTCCATGATTTCAACCGCATGCATGCGCAGAACCTGGCTGTCTGCTTCGGGCCTGTGCTGCTCAGCCAGAGCCAGGACCCACGGCGCCCCGGCGCCCGCAGCTATGCCCACTGCGAGGACATTGCCAGTGCCGTCGACTTCAAGAGACACATTGAGGTGCTGCACTACCTGCTCCAGGCCTGGCCCGGTGAGTGTGATGAGTGGGGGCTGGGGAGGGGAAGCACTGTGGCAGGGGTGCTTCTCCGAGATCCTGGCCTCTGGCTACGTGATCCCCTGCCCGGGGGACATGGCCTTGGCTAGTCCCTCTCTGGCTTCTCCCACAGGATCACCATTCCTGATTGGCTGGTTCATACTGATTTGTTTCTCATTCCAGCCCCTGATTGGTTATTCTGGCTCCCCAGCACTAGGATTGCAGTGCCTGGTTAGCCTGTCTTTTGTTAGGCTCTTCCCCCAATCTTGGGATCACAGCCTCTGATTGGTCAGACTCTTGCTTGGTTCCCCTCCTACCCCAGGGTCACACCAATCAGGAGATGGGTCAGTCTGTGCCAGGTTCCCACCTTGCCTTTCCCAATCTCAGTCCTCCTGCTACCCTGCCCCAGGATCACAGCCTTTGATTGGTCAGTCTGTGCTTGGTGTCTCCTGCCCCCAGAGTCACAGCCCCTGATCTGCCAGTTTGTACTTGGTTTCCCCTTCCTCCAACCCTGGGATCACACCCTCTGATTGGTCAGTTCACCCTCAGTGCAGCCACCGATTAGCTGGGCTGCCCTTGCTCCCCGTGGGAAGGAAGGCCCGCCCTGACACTGCTCCTATCCCCGCAGTGCCCCACAGGACCGAGGGCCCGGAGGGGACCCAGTCCAGCTGCCTACGGCCCAAGCGCCATCCCGCTCTGCGGCTGGAGCTGCTGGAGAGCCAGGTGGTGGCTCGGCACCGGCCCCGGGGCCTGGAGAGCCCCCCCAGCAATCGCTATGCAGGGGACTGGAGCGTGTGTGGCCAGGAGTTCTTGCTGCTGCCAGGGCCGGGGCCAGGATCGGGGCCAGGAGGTGAGGCTGACTACGACGAGGTGGCTGGTAGTGACAGCGAGGGTGAGGGTGTGGGGCTGGGTAGCCCCAGCCGGACCGTCTTCATGGGGGACTTTGCACTGGTGGATGACCCCGAGGCACCATTCAGCCCCCGCCTCAACCTCAAGGACTTCGATGCCCTCATCCTGGACCTGGAGCGGGAGCTCTCCAAGCCCATCAACGTGTGCCTCTGAGCAGCCAGGACCAGCTGCCCTGGGCTCTGCAGGGCCGCGAGGGATGGGGAGTGCTGCTCTGAGCTCCTGAGGGACCAATTAATTCAGCCATGTTCCCAAGGGTGCATGGCCACACCACAGTATTAGCAGGTACCTAGTGCCTGAGCCAAAGCCATTTGGAGAGCGACCAAAGGTGCAGCACTTGGCTCTCACTGCCTTTGATTTGCACAGCACCGAGTGAAGGGGATGTGGGGCCAGGGGTGCGACCATGGTGCCAGCAGGGAAGGGCACTGTGGGGCTCTGCTGCCGGGGCAGGGGTAGGCTGGGTGGGGGGTCATTCGTTGCAGCCTGGTACTGCAGCCAGACTGACAGGGTAAGGTGTTGCACTCTCCACTGGGCATTTTCCACCCCCACCAGCTCTCACCTGCAACACATGCCGGGGGGGGGCACAACTCCCTCCTGGGCTCTCACATGCCCTTTGCCTTTAATATGCCAAAGAACCTACCGCGGGCAGACCCGGGCCAACTCGATGGGCATCCCCAACCCGACCCTGCCAGCCCTACCAGCGTGTGGCGTGGGTGGCTGACTACAGCAGGACTTGAGGCTCAGGAAAGCACCCCCACGCCAGGCTCCTGGCTTGCCCTTGATTGGCAGGGTTGTGCAGTGGGCAGCCCCCAGGCATACAGTTGGTGCTGAGCCCTGAGTGCTGCTGCTCTCTTGCCTGAGCTCGTGGCCATATGGGGCAGCCTGGGCCTGGGTGGGGGTCAGCACTGAGGGCCCTGGCCACTCCAGATGGCACCGTCTTGCGCAGTATTAGTGAGTACGGACAAGGTTCTGCAACTTTCATTGCACATGGGCTCCTGGGGCTGGGCTGCTGTGGGGCTGCTAGGTAGCACCTTGGAGTGGCACTTGTCCCTGCCCCTCTTTCAGGCAGGGCCTCTGCTAGCCCCGTTTGCCCGCTGCCCCAACCCCTCTGGGCTGTGGCTGGGAGGTCTTTGTGGCTCTTCTCTCCTCTGGCTTTGGCCACCCAGCCTGGTGCATGGCCAACAGAATACTGGGTGCTGCTCTCTGCATAGGTGCCTCAGTGAGCCTGGCACGCTCATCCATGCCCTGCCCTGATGAGCCATGAAGAGGCCAGGCCCCACTGGCTCTACCCAGCACCCTGGAAAGTGGCTGCAGTGTCTCCTCCCTTTCTTAGGGGCAACTCTGGGCTAAGGGTGGCAGGCAGGCCTGGACAGTACCACCCCACAGGGATGGGGAGTTGCGTAAGTGGGTCAGGGGTAGTGATGTGTACAGCTGAGATCCTGGGCAGGAGGCGCCCTGTGAGGCAGTTGGGACACACCCAGCCCAGTGCTGTGCCCCAGGGACCCGGTACGGGAAACCAGCCTTATTTATTACTCTGGCTTGTGTGTTTCTGTAGGCAAGGATGCGTGTGTGTGTTTTGGGCACAAGTGCAAAAGGTGGCATGTATGTGAGATGCGCATATGTGTATTAGTGCACACGTGTGTTTCTATATACATGTGCAAGGATGTGTGTGTGTATGTTTGTATTGGCAAGGATGTGTACATGTGTTGGGCACAAATACAAAACGTTTTAAATGTGTATTCATGCACATAAGGATGTGTGATACATGCACAAGTGTATTGGTGCATACAACGTATGTGTGTGTGTTTATGCACCCATGTGTGCATTTGTGCACAAGGATGTGTCTGCATTAGGAGCTGCTGCCCCCATCTGACCCACATGGGGACTGCATGTGTACATCTTTTCCTTTTCACGGCAGAATGTTTCACTCTTCACCAAATATTCAGTTACAGGAAGAAAAGCCAATTTCTTTTTGCTGGGTGAAGGCAGCTCTGACACTGTGAAGACTGTTCTTCTCTCAGTGCCATGACCAGGCTTTAGCAATGCCTCTGCACCCCTCAAAATACAATCATGTGGGGCATGGAGCTATCCCTGGTAGCATGGGGGAGCCTTGTGCTGTGGGGCAGACACAAGGAGGGGGTAGTGGTGCCTTGTTCAGTATTAGTGGGGCAAGAGCAGACTGATGGTGAAGTGGTGCTGTGGCTTGTCCTGCCATGAAGGAGGGGCTGGGTGGGGTCCCAGCTGCCAAACAGTGTTATGGGAGTTGCCAGGTGCCCCCAAGCTGCATGCTCCCACAGTATCTAGCACCCCCCTGTGGGGCCACCCCAGTGCTCTCAGCTCTGGGGACGGGCACAGAGGCTCTTCTTCCTGTGTTCTCACCAGGAAGCCCCTGAGCTGGGCTGGGAGGCTGAGCACCCTGGCAGGATCATGCAGGAGTTGCCCTGCCTGGCTGCTTTGCAACCATCACCAGCAATAAAGGATGCACTCACCCCTGGATCTGATGTGTGTGTGTACTGGGGGCAGGGCTTACTGGGGCACTTGGGAAAGGGCAGCCTGCTCTAGCCACATCTGGGCCTGCACTGCCTTTGCTTGTCAGTCAGCTTGGCAGTGTGGGAGTTGTGTTAGCTGCCCACTCTGGCTGCTAGGGGCTGCCCTCTCAGGCCTGTGCCTAGCCCAGGTTAAGCTGTTTTTCCCTACCAGGTGCTGTGCTGAGCCCAACTGCCTGGAGCCTTGAGGGAGGCCAGCAGGGGGTGCTGCTGGAGGCTTTGGGGTGGCTAAATGAACTGATCTCACTGCAGGGGAGCAGTTGGGGGCAGGGGTGTGCCTGGGTGGGGGAAAAGGCACAAACCCCTTTGTGCTACAGCTGCATGCAAACATGGTGGCCTACAGACAGCATGGGCACCAGGCCAGCCTTTTGGCTCATTTCAGGAGGCACCTTGAAACGTAGTGAGCCCCCTTGCTCCCCCTGGGGCTGAGCTAGGCACCAGGGTGCCAGGAACCCAGGCTCCTCCCTGGCCCTGTTCCCTGAATCCTCCCATGAAGCCCTTGGACTGGAACCTGCTGCTCTGCTTCACAGGTCCCCAGGGAGGGTGCTGGCCAGGCAGGCCTGGGGGCAGTGCTGTGGCTATAGATGTCCCTCAAGGACTCAGTCTGGTTCATTCTCTTTATTCCTCCAAGCAACTGATTCAGTGCTGGGCTTCAGTTGGGCAGACAGCTGCCATTGTCTGTGCCTGTGGGGCTACCATTGTTTTTTCCATGTGCAGTGGCCACAGCAACCCAGAGCTCCTACTGCTGCCAGAGAGATATGCCAAAGCACAACCATTTCCTCCTCAGCAGCCCTCATGTTGGCCATCTGATCTGGGCATGGCTGAAGTGTGGTGCTGGAACATTCATCGCTGCCAGGGCAGTGCCGGGAGCAGCTTCCTGCTCTGTAGCCCCGGGCCTCACTCACCATTGTCCAGCCATTCCATACCCCTGCATCCATGCTCCCACTGGGCTGGTCTGCACTCGGGTACTGCTCATGTGCTGGCATCAATTTCCTGGTGATGGGTGCTGTCACTGGAGAGTCCTGGTCTGGGTCCCCTGGCTCAGGGTGGGGGGCTGCCATGTGCTGCAGAGCCAGAGCAGGGTGGAGGGAGATCACCAAGCAAGCAGAGTCAGGGCTGGGCGTGGAAGGCACGGGGCTGGGCCTGGAAGGCACTGTCTCCCAGGGCAATGGGAAGCCCCAGCAGCCATGCTGGCCCTACATTGAGATGGAGCCATCACGAAAGTTGGTTCTGCCAATGAGAGCATTGATGAGGACGGGATGACCCTGAATGCACTGCTCCTGTGCTGCCCGAAGCATGTTGTCCAGGTTCCCCTCATCCTGCCGGGTAAGAAGGAAACCTCGGCCCCCCAGGCCTTCAGCCACTGTGTGGTAATCTGCAAGGAATGGAGGAGCATCAATGAGCACATGAAAAGTGACAGAGGGGCCAGCATGGGCTAGCCAGTGTGACCATGAGCAGGACTGGCAGGAGAATCAAGGAGACCAAGGATAGAATCCTGCAGCTCTCCAGGAACTGCAGGGGCCAGCTGGCATAGGCACTGGCCACGCCAGGCCCAGAGGAATGGGCCCTTTCCTTGGCCCCTTTCTGCCAGGAAGCCCTGGGGGTGGGATCAAGGGGTGGGTGGGGGGTACACTGTGGGATGTGGCCTGTTGGGGTGATGGGAGCATCCAGCTCTTGCAGTGCCAGGCAAGTGTGGTAGCAGGATGCCTGTCTGCCCACCTTTGGAGAGGCTGCATGGAGCTGGGGCCATGGACATTGCTGTCCACGAGGATCTACCTGGTGTGTGGGTGGCCCCTTGGCTTTCCCCACTCTCCAGAGCTGTGGGTCCAGGACTCACCAAGGTAGGCCAGGCCACAGGCCACATTGCTGCCCAGCATGGGCACCTGCTCCCGAGCAATCTGGCTCCAGCAGGCATCATTCCCCACCAACGCGATGACGGGTGTCTGCAAGGACAAGGCAGGGCAGTGCATTGCTCCCTCACCCTCAGATCATCCCCCAGGCAAAGCAGGCAGTCATGAGGGGGAGGTTGCCAAAGGGCTTCATCACAGCCATTGCTTGGACCACCCAGTGCATCCTTACAGGCACAAAGGGGGACAGAACCCAGTGCCAGCCACCCTGGACAGCGGGACCCCTCAGCTGTCTGTAATTGGGGGGAAGCTTCCCCCCACATAGTGGGAGGGTTTGTCTCGCTGCACTAACGCTGACCAGTTGTCCTGTCCAGGGCCGCCTCAGCTTGGTCAGAAGCTGTATGGCCTGTGCAAGCTGGCTCCAATCCAGCAATTGCCCAGGCCGTGAGGTGCAGGGTCAGGGTTGTAGCTTTTCCCCACACTCTGGACCCCTTCCCCTACCATCCAGGCAGCCTGAGGTGGGGACCCAGCACCCCCACTCCACCCAGTTCCTGTGAGCTGGAGCTCCCGAGCGCCTGAGGACAGTTACCTTGTGTCGGACAAAGGTGTCAAACTCCAGGATGCTGTAGCCAAGTGAGCCGTCCCCGTAGAGGATCCAGACCTGGGGAAGGGACAGGAGGGTATGGGCATGAGAGCAGTGCTGGAGGCATTAGGTCCCTTGACTGGAGGCCTAGGGTGGGCTCATCTTGCCCTGCAGGGACTGGGCTGGATGTAGAAGAGCTGGCAGCTCCAGGCACACAGATCCCAGAACCTCCACCCCAGACAGGCACAGAGATGCTGCCTGCAATGACCAGCTAAGTGTGTGTGCAGGCAGCTTTTGGGGGTGGGCTCCTCTGGGTGCAGGGGGCACCCACAGGGCAGGAACTGGGGTGGGGGGTGGGAATCTGTAGAGAGGGACTGAGGCAGAGATCTGGGCTGAAGTGGAGCTTGGGGACCTGGGAAGAGAGGGGTGAAGCATGGCTGCCCGTCAGGAGCTGCTGGGAGACTTCCCATGCAGTCCAGAGTGTGGGTGTGTGGTAGCCCTACTGTGAAGCCTGCCAGGGACTCAGGGTGTCACCCTGCCCAACCCCCTTCACAGCTCCCGCCTCTTACTACTGACCTCTGAGTCAGGCCTGCAGAGCTTGGCTCCAAGAGCAAATCCACCCCCAATACCCAATGTCCCGAAGGCCCCTGGGAAGAGAAGACAGTAGAGATGGTCCCTGAGGGCAGGCAAAGGAGCCAGGTGGTTGGGACCAGGAGCCCTGATATGGCCTCTTCAGCACCATCCAAGAGATCCACCCAGCTGAAGAGCGGCCTGGAGGACAGCTTCATAGCCCTCCTGTAGCAGGGGGGTTTGGGGCAGCTCCTGGTGCTCCCACCCCAGGCTCTGCCCTCAGCCCATACGACCCACTGCTCTGAGACACACAGGGCCCTGGGTTTGTGAACCCACTCTGGGATTGGTTCCTGCACACTGTGCCCTCACCCGCTTCTGCAGAGTTCTGTGGGCTGCAAGGCACTTTTGTTCCTCATTCACAGGGCACAGGGCATCCACTTACACACCCCAATGGGCTGGCTGGCAGGGACAGGGTAGGAAACTCTGGGACCCTGCTCCACTGCACAGGCCTTTCCCAAGCTCATCACCACCTCCAATGCGTGGCTGGCTCGAGCACCCACTCACAGGTGGCTCTAAACTGTGCTGCTTGGTACCTGGGTCCAGCCAGCAGAGGGGCCCTGGTGGCTGGACGATGTAGGCAGCGCTGCCCACGAAGTCACCCCCGTCCAACACCAACAGGCTGTTCTCAGGCAGTAGTGCATCCATATGGTGCAGGACCTTCAGGGGGTTCAGGTGCTGCTCTGTGGGCTTCTCTGCCTTCTCCCTGGCACAGTGGAGACCAGGAGTCAGTGCCAGGGCCAGGCTCTGCCCATGGCATCATGACCAACACCACCAAGCTCCAGGAGAACTGCCCCCAAGGACAGGGTCAGGCCCTGGCCCTCCCTGTGGCATCGTCATCCTACTAGCCCAGGCGTTGCCTGCTACCTGTTGGCTTTCTCCTTCTGGTGGTCATTGTCCTTCAGACTTGCAGCCCAGTCCTGAGGACATGAATATCCCTTTAGGCCTCGTGACAGACACAGCAGGAAGGAGCTGGCGTCCCCTGAGAAGAAAGTGTGCAGCCTGAACCAGGACCTGGGTGACAAGACCCCAAGTGCCCAGCAGAGGCAGCCAGAGTGCTGGGCATGTCCCCCAGGCAATGCCAGGGTGGCTGCCTAGCCCCTCTCCCCAGGATGCCTCGCTATGGCACTGGGGCACATACCTCCTGCCCAGGTCATTGGCCTGACCCCTCCTGCCCAGGTCATTGGCCAGGTCTTCCCCTGAGGTGCCCACCAGGCAGCCTGTGTTCTTGACATGATCTCCCCTTTCAGTTAGGCAGTGATGGTGTCAGATGCACCCCCTCCCACAGAATGGGACCTGAATACGCCAGGCCTCACCTTGGATGGTGACCTGTGGCTTCCAGAAGATGTCAGAGTTGAGCAGGAGCTGGGAACGGTTCCGGTTGACAGCAATGATTTTGCTGTAGCGGCTCAGCACACGCCCATAGGACAGGCGGAAATCACACACAGTGCCTGTGGGACAATATGGGGTGAGAGGTCCAGGTCAGGCTGGAACAGGCAGCTCCTCCCCAGCCCTGCCCTCTCAACTAGTACAATGCAGCACATCCTTCTTCCCTGCCCACCTCACAGCTCAGCCTCACCCTTCCCTCTACTACCACCAAGCCCTCCCACCCCTTTGCCTATCTGGCAGCATCGCCTGCACAGCCCAGCTCATTGGATGCCCTGCCCTATGGGCTGAACTGGGCCCCACTCACCTGCCAGAATGACCACATCAGCCTCCTTCAGTGCTTCCCGGCGGTTCTGGTGGATATGCAATGGGCTGTCCCTTCCCAGCATCCCACGAGCCATCCCCCCGAGGAAGCAGGGGATGGCCAGGTCCTCCAGGGCAGCTCTGTAGGGCACAGAGGAGTCAGTTCCTAGCAGCGGCTCGGTCCCAGGGTGATCAGGATGAGGATAGAGTTGCCACCTCTGTGGATGTGTGTGCATGTGTTGAACATATGTTGAACATCCCATATGTTGAACATCCCTGTGCACAGGGTTTGCTCCACAGCATGTCTGTACACGTGTGAATGGGGAGTTGGGGTGCGACTGGGAGCAGGGGCCACAGGTGTTCTGTTTCTTAGAGAGGGAAGACAATGTGTTGCTAAAGTTGACCACAACCCTGCTGACACTGAAGACAGCAGCCATGCTGCTTGGTCAGCACCTCTGCCTGATGTGGAAGGCCCTGATGTCCCACCTCTGCCCCAAGCCACCTCTACCAGTGCTTCTCAGTCCCAATCTACAGCCCCGCACTATACCAGCCCTGCCCCTGCTCCAGCCCTGCTGGAGCCTCTCAATCCCAAAGCACAGCTGCCTGCTTCCCTAGCCCTGCTGATGCCTCCTATTCTGTCTCTTGCACAGGGCCTGTCAGGCCTGGGTGCCAGGCTGGGGTTGTGCTGTCTTGTCTGACATGCTGTGGTTCATCTGGTGAGGCCCTCTGCAGAGCAGGCCCAGGTGGGGGCCATGTCCTCACCTGAGCTCTTCCACAGGCGTTGGTGGCAGGGTCACCTGGCTGCCCAGGAGTATGATAGGCTTCTTGGCACGGCTGACCAGCTCCACGCACTGCTGTACCTGCACATGCACACGCAGTCAGGGCTGGCTGAGCCTGGGAGGGCTCTGGGGTCAGGGCAGGGGTTGGGAGGCTTCATGGGGCCCCTGGTGCCACAGCCAGTGAGGTGGGGATGGAGAAGCTGGTGGAAGGTCAGGTCAACACCACAAACGGGGATAGTGCTGGCTAGATGCTCTGCCAGGTCTAAGGATAGGACAGTACCAGTGCCTACAGATGC